ATTTGAACCACGATTATAGTTAGGTTTCTTGCACGCCTAAGGGAGGCAACTCTCCCGTATTCATACGCCTTCATGTTTTTGCTACATATTGAACGTTCTGACAAAACCCCTTCTGTACATGACGTATTGAAAAATATCTCAGTGTGCTCCATTGCATGGCAACCTACAATTTGTATAATCACCTACGCAATCGAATAGAAAAGGATAATCTTTCCTTGTTGATCAATAGGTTTCCGCCCGCCGCGTATAGATGGTTACGAGGACATGTGGCTTTATGTCGATGCCAAACATGATAGAGAGAACCATCGTATTTGTGTTTGCTTTTGTCAGAAGCTGTTATTGACTGCAATTTATACTACCAACATAAAATGGAATTAATAAAACGATAGTGGGGGTATAATGACGATAAATGTCTGTAAAATTAATTTCGGGCGCGTAGATCAATACCTGGTGTGTCCACCACATTGGGCGATGCATGCACGACACTTTGATGGCATATGGTCGATTAACTTGCGTATGGATGCCCTTGGCATTGCCCGCATTTGTGCCTGGAGAGCTTGTCCAAGCTGGGCCACGTTGGCGGGAGCGTTTACTCTCCGCCCGAGGATATCCCAAAGGTTCTGTATTGGGGATATGTCAGGGGCCATAGCGGTCCAGTCCAATGTCCATGTGCATTCTTGTCAGAGATAATAGGTGACGACCTGGGCACGATGTGGTCTGGCCAGTCAAATGTCTGTTCACAGTAAACAAATCGTGTCGCCTGTCATAAATGATACCGCCCCAAACCATGACACTGCCGTCCCCACGCCGATCATGGTCAAGAATTGTTTCCCTGTCATACCGCTCGCCGCTACATCGCCAACAACGTTTTCTGCCATCTGTGAATCGGAGGCAAAACATGAATTCATCTGTAAACACGATGTCACGCTTTTGGTGCACAGCCCGCCTCTGGCATCGCCTTGCCCACCTCAATCTTTGCCGCCTATGGCTAGCTATAGTGAGTGAGTATGGTTTTACGCCGCTTTTAGCAATATTCCAGCAATATCACGGCGGGGGACACCAGAAATGGGCTTCACACATTGTACCCATGTCGGGAATCGAACCCGGGTCTTCGGCGTCACGAGCGAACGCTTTAACCACTAGGCTACCCGACCGTCCCCTGGTAAGCTGTAAGGACCACACCCTTCACAAGGCCCTTGTTGTCATTGTACGGACTTCTCTGTTGATAACAGGAGCAGATTTGAGTTTATTGCATAGTGCAATTAATGTACTAATAATAAGACTGTCTTGTGAGGCGGTCGGGTAGCCTAGTGGTTAAAGCGTTAGCTCGTCACGCCGAAGACCCGGGTTCGATTCCCGACACGGGTACAATGTGTGAAGCCCATTTCTGGTGTTCCCCCGCTGTGATATTGCTGGAATATTGCTAAAAGCGGCGTAAAATCAAACTCACTCACTCACTCACTAGACGGTCTTGGCTAGGTGTAGTATGTTTAATGTCCAGCCACGCGCAGGTCTCATTGCAACCCTACCCATTTGACGGTACCTTGTCCCACAGTCGTGAAATTACGCAGTTTGATTTGCCAGACATTCGGGTAGCCTGTGATATTGACGTGCCCTTCTATCGTACCCACAATTCGCCATTCTGACTGTTCGTTGTCTGTTCTGTCTCAGAAGCACTTTTAAGCGTGTTCTCAGCTCAGTTGTGTAAGTGATTGTGTGTTTCCCTGAAAGCCCACACACGTTGGCTTCTGTGTGCACACGCTGTGCTGTTCATGCAAGATATGAAATGTCATTGTGATTAAATGTTGCGTTAAGATGAAAGTGTACACCTCAAGGAGAGCTACATTCACATCAACGAGAACTACATTCAAATCATTAGTCCCCTTATTTTTTGTCGTTAGTCTATAGAGGATATTTTATGTGTCAAGTGAAATATCATGTTTCTCTCATTGAGTGACGGGGGATATATATATTGACTACTCCAACATCATAGGCACGGGAATCCTTTTGATAAACCATGCGTAGCCAGTATATATTAACATCTGAATAAACTCGCCATCTACTTTCAAGCATATCCTACATTTACAGTCATAAAGCAGATCCGATCACAAAAAACAGCATTAAGTCAACATCTAACAAACATGTCATGTCAAACTAAAAACGCGATTAAGATATATTGCTATGACGTCATAACAGGTGTTTGGGAAATATATTTATGTACTGCAAGATGTTTTCTTTAATTTTCGTGTTTTAATGTTCTCTATCTACACCTCTGGATTTAAACAAAGCTGGGTACCTGCAATTGGTATGACAAACAGACACCAGGAAGGGTGATGTACTTCCTCTAGATACCATATACCAGCATAACCAGTTCACAGGCTAGGCTGAAGCGACAGACCGCGTTTTATTAGTCTAAGTACATATCAGGTACATGTCCCTATTCTTAGTTGAACATAATATCTGTATCAAGATACACTAGTTCGCTGTGAAACAACGTTGAAACTTTAATTGCAAATTGTATTGTACTTAAGGTGAGGTAACATCGTGCGAATTATTTGAAACGAAAACATGGGCTGAAGCCGATGTTAAATGATGTAAGCTGGTCGTTGATTAGCTTCCTTATTATTCTACCATGACATTGATGAATGCTTGATTCTGATTGGTTAAAAATCGATATTGCTGAGTGCGGCGTTAAGCAAACAAACAAACAAACATCCAAACCAAACCAGATGCTGTTTAGTCCAAGACGATTCACTGTGTTTTCTGTGGACAATGTGCGCCATCCAAACAGTGTAGGAGTGGGCGGGGCAGCCACACCCAGCATTATCATACATGGGGTGATAGACACACAAAGTGAAGCTGTAAAAACAGGTAAGTTTCATTTGAACATCGTTTGTGTGTAAATAAACGCGCCAAAACCCTTTCCAGAATTAAAAGAAATCTCTGTAAAAGACAGGACAGCACGATGCCCCACTGTTACAGACCAACGAATGATTGGGCAAACCCAGCATTATTATACTTTTCATATTCATAAGAAATATCTGCAAAAAGCAGAGTCCATTGTACGATCGCGACTTCATCTGAAGTATGTGTTTACGAATCACTATCAAATAGCGATGATACCAGGTGTTCGTAAAACGGAAGCGTATCCTTCCCCGCTTGTGGTACCTGCACAAACTCATGCAAAGGCAAGTCAAGTGTTCACCTGAAAGAATGTTATTGTCATTTTTCATAAATAGATTATAATATTCTGAAAACATTCAAGACAAACTCCTTTATTTCAGGTACATTTTCCTAGCAATGCCCAATGTGATTGGCTAAATGAAGGGAGACAACTCCTGATGCCTCACAGCGTAATGAATTTGAAGTTTCCATGTGCAAGAGATGTTCAACGATCACTCATCCGACGTCACGTGATCATGACGCCCTTGATCTATTTAGAGGGGTCACAGGTTAGGAAATATGCAGGGTTGCGTGCAGGGAACATACAACAGAGGCTGTTAGGCTTGTCTGTAAAGATGGCCATAAAACTGTGCGCCCGACATGCCGTGTTGTTTGCAATAGCAGTGTACGAGTTTATGGTTATCGTTATGCAAACAATAATAAAATATAATTTGACAAAGAGAAATGTGATGGCAAATAAAAGCGGCAAAACTCACAAGTAATCTCTGTTGAAAGCAGAGTCCATTGTACAAGATTATGTTTCTAGGTTTTTTCAGCACCATACCCGTGCTCGTGGGTTTCACCGAAGTGGTAAACGTCTGTGACCTGCATCACTTCGGGCTTTCCTCCCACATGAAGCTTACACGCCGTGATATAACTGGAATACTGTTAGAAGCGGCGTTAAATCCAACTCACTCACTTACCTAACTCTCCGTAACCAGTATTTTTGAAACAGCTGCGGTCCAAGTATTCTTTTTTTCTATCTTACTTGACTTACCAAACACTACAACATTTGTTTTGTCACCATTAGTCTTTTGGTTGTTTGTTGTGCAAAATACACTTAAACCACCAAGTAACACTTGTAGGTGGTTTTGGGAATTGTCAAATAGTACAAAGTCATGGGCAGACAACGAATGAAACCATTTCGTGTTATATTATTACTATAAGATTTGAGATAATGTGGACGATCTTTGAGGAATATATTAAATAATGTGGGAGACAACAAGCATCCTTGTCTTAACCCGACGTTGGAGTTAAAGGATTGTGAAATGCCCTTGTCAGTTTTCACTTTATAAGAGATATCATTATATAGAGATGACATTATTTTTGATACATTTTCTGCGATTTATTTGATTACAGCTTTGTTAGGAGTAGTGATCTGTCAACTGAATCAAAGGCCTTTTGAAATTCTACAAAGCAAGGGTATAGTCTTTTCTTTTACTTTTTGCAGAATATATTAATGTTCAAAGAATAAATACATAATCTGATGTTGGTAGCCCCTTTTAAATCCAGACTGACAGTTGACATGAGTTTTTCCCATGTGTTCCATTATTTTATTCATTTATACATTATTCTTTCATTTATGAAGTTGCAAAATAGTTTACCCAAGCAGCTGCTTAGTGCAATACCCCTATAGATGTTAGGGTCAGTCTTATGTTAGACATCATTAAACAGTTTAACCAACTGGTCTATCAATGCACAATATACTGATTTTTAAAGTGCATGTCATCTCCGCCTGGACTGTTGTTTGTTCTGAGGCCAGTAAGTATGGCCGGATGTGTTGATCTGCTGGATAAGGCAGGATACGTAGGCATGTCCCTACACACAACGAGGGACTGTTTACTGCCCTCTTGCGTGTCGACTACTAGGGCAACGTACTTGTGTCAAACTGTGTATAAATATAGATATAAATATGAGTTGAGGCGACATGGATACCCCACTCTGACACAGTATACCAACTCCGTGATGATCCGGGGCGATCAAGACCAAACAATTGGCGATGTAAACGAGGAACGTTAGCGTCGGAAAATACAGCAGACTTTGTCTAACACTTGGGGTGAACCACAATATTTCTTTATTCCACTATGGCGTCTCTACATTGAAACCTTTCTTCAGACCCACCGTATCACGACCATGTTACCCACTACTCCAAGAATGTTCCCCCACTGACATACTATTATAACTCTAATGTCAGTAATGGGTCACAATTATTACTAAGTCAGTATATATACTCACCATCAAAAGAAGCGCAAACCATAGGAATATATAGAGAAGTATCTGCGTTAAGAAGAGATGTTTCCAATATGTACCAATTGATGCATGGTGTTCGCGTTTCTTTTTTACATGCACCAAGAGAAAATATATCAGAGTCATCATGGTGTTTGTGAAAATAAAACATTTAAACCCTGACGTTTAAAATGCAGTCTTATGTCACTGTTACAATAGATTATGCATACTGAACAAAAAACAGTCAGGAATCATGAAATATTTTTATATACTGCACACATTAAAAGAAACAGTCTTCAGTGCAAAACAATCTCCCCAAAAATATTCATGATCCCTAACATTTTATGTTTGATATACTTATATCTGGATTAATGAACATTTACATGCTATTGGTGCATTTCTTTCGGAGGGAACTGGACACCCCCTTCCAACAGGGGCAGGAGTCTCTCGCAGAAAAATGTCCTTCCTTCATCGGTTTTCATCCAACGTCCAAATTTCATCGGATGAAAGAAGTAGTCGTCCGATGAGAACAGTTCCTGGACTCTACCCCTGTCTTCTCCGAAGATTAACTTCCCAGGAATGTACTCGATGTTTTCTTGTCTATCCATTCCTTGAAGAACTGTGGCAACCCCTACTTCAATAATAACTTTATGCTTCTTCAGCAATGAGATGAGAAATACAAACATGTCCTTCAGTCTGTTTGGTACATAATAGAAGTCACATGTGGATCCAAACATCAGATCCAAAGACTGTCTGTTCCGAACATACATAGTGTAAAACCGATTAGCCAACTCGGCACCTTCTGTTCCCCTTTGAGATATATCCTTCAGTTCGTGAAGCACTTGTTCATAGTTTTTCCTGCCTTCCATCTCCTTCCACCACCGCCAGGGGGAGTTCAACACGCTCCTGTTGAATACATTCAGTTTATTATTAAACCACACATGATCTCGCGGCAGTTTATGAAGATTCCAAAGTTGTAGAAAAGTGTCATCGCCAATATGAAGATAGCCTTTGGCTCTGTAGTTCATCTTCATGGCATATGCAATACAGCCATACATGTAATGCCATCCTTCAGTAATGCCTTGTACATGGGACAATTCACCATTGTTGTACTGGTGGAACGATTCCATACTCGGACCACAGAAGAGGATATTGGGGAAGTATCTCCTATAAATGGGCTCTACGATCCGAGTGGTACTGTAAAGTTGTGGGTAGTTTATCTCCACAATAAGCAGCACATCTGTGAATAAGTACTTTGCAGGAGCTCCACTTCTCAGGGCTTCTTTGACTTCATCCACTTCAGGACAGATGGGCTTGTTATCCCAGGGTAGCTGTACAACCACGGACATTGACGTCAGGTTATATATCTTATGATTGTGTTGACTTGGGGCAAAGTGCATCCCAGTGCAGATCTGGTCTTCGGCATATTGAATTTTATTGAAATATATCCTTTGCGAGTCGGGAATGATATTTATATTTTCTAAATCCCGCATCCATGATTTCATCGACTCAATATTACCTTCATCTATTACACCTTCACTGACGATGTGTTTAACAAGAATCCCGAAACATTCTTGAAGGGAATTTGAAGGATCACATGTCCATTTCTCCAGCTCTTTTACCAACACATTAGCTATATTTGACTCCATGACGGCATCTCTGAAGTTAAAATATTTGTCATAGTTTCGTTTGGCAGTGACCCCCATATGACCAACGGCGTCATTGGTCTCCCATAGCAACCTCTGGGAAATATAACCTCGTATCACACCATTCAGCATTGAGTTTCCAGAAGTCGGAAGTAGCATTATCCAGAATGCTTTACGAGTAAAAAGTGTATTACCGGCTGTGACTGCTGAGAATCTACCCGGGGGGACAAATGCAGGAGGTGCCATTGTATCAAACTGAAGATTCAGACTCGTTTCTTTGCTGATTTGCAATACTTTTCGTCTCTGGTCATGATAAAGATGCGTTTCACCACTAACGATGCCATGTTGCATTGGAGGTGTAGGGACATAGCACAGGTCAAACATTTTAGACTGCGTCGCGTTTACAGATGTTGGGAATCCCACGGGATGCAAACACGGTTGACCAAAATGCTTGTAGTGATTGAATGTGGTGTTGCCGGTGTAGATGAGGCCATGCGTGTGATGACTGTAGATGAAGTTGTTCATTGGAAGGATGGGTTTGACACCATATTCCAAATCGTAGATAACCTCCGCTGATTGTGACATGGCATAGAGGTAGGCTATGTTCTTCAGGGGATAACCTTTCTCTCCAGCATGCCTAATTGAGTAGAACGGCAGATCTTTGATGTTCTTGGGGTGAAGGTAGGTGCACCGCGGTTTCCTGAAAAATAATAAATAGCTGTTACTTATAACAGATTGCAGATCATCATGTAGTAAAATAAATAAGAGTGTCATGATCATGTATATGTTTTTGTTTGTTTGTTTGTTGTTTAACGCCGCACTCAGCAAAATTGCAGCTTTTGACGGGGATCTGTAAATAATCGAGTCTGGACCAGACAATCCAGTGATTGACATCATGAGCATCGATCCACACAATTGGGATACGATGACATGTATCAACCAAGTCAGCGAGCCTGGCCATCCGATCCCGTTAGTCGCCTCTTACGACAAGCATAGTTTGCTTTGTACGAAAACTATGGGTTGCTGAAGACCTATTCTACCCCGGACCTTCACGGGTCTCATGTATATTTATTACCACTCATATCATCTTCTATCTTCCTTGGTTTACTTTCATTTTAAAAACCTAAATCCAGTTCACAACCATGATGTTAAACGTTTTTTGATACGACTCTTGCGCAGAAGCTGTTTGATCACGGTTACAAACTTTCAAAAAGATTTATGGTGGACATGTGAAGGACATCAGTGACAAAAATGATGTCCGATGCAATTCCCTATTTTGACTTGTACCATTTGTTCTCGTGTTTTTTTTCAGGTGAACAATTGACTTGCCTCTGCATGTAAAATAAAAAATGCAGCAAAGAGGGTTTGGGTGATCCTGGCACAGTCAGGCTGGTTAGGCTCATCATCAGCTCAGGGCCCTTGCCCACTCTACACGCAGCCCAGACAGCGAATGGGACTTCTCCGAGGAAGCGCTGCCTAGTCAAACTCACCAAGAACTTTTCGGAGAATGTGAAGACTCCCCAACACTGCAGCCTTCTGAATTACCCAGATTGTCAGAAGGGCTGTATTCCTGGCAGCAAACCCGGGTACTCTCACAATGTCAGTCAACGTATTGGGAGGTACCACACCTAAGGCACCGAGAACAACGGGGAGTCGGACATAAAGATCAGGTTTGATCAGGTTTGTTAGCCTGGATACGTCTGAGGCTGTAAATGGGCCTATTCCAAAGAATTTTGTATTTATCATTTTCCATGACGCCTTCTACATATTCCGGGTCGTTCCATGGGTGGACCTCTGTGTCAAAACCACAAGCATGGCGAAGACGGTAATAAAATGATCGAGCTACACCATCATGTCGTTTAAGATACTCTGTTTGTGCCAAAGCTGGGCATCCACTGACAATGTGTTCATTACATAATCTACATATCATATTTACATTTTGATTCAAAATCACACATTGACGGTTTCCTGTGGGAAGTGACTGGTCCTGAGCAGCAAACAGAAAGCCTTCTGTTTCACTTTTCAGACCAGACGACTTCATCCAAGCGAAGGACTCTGCAGGATTACTGATCTTCTCAAGACACCGCACATAAACTCGATGCAGTGGTCGTTCAGATAGCCTCTCCTTTAAAAACTGAGTCTTGGCCGACTTGATATGGCACTTCGCCTGGTTGACACTCATTTGTGTACCGCCCAGCAGTACAGAACCAACAAAATCAACACCGACATTGGGATTATGTCCCACATCCTTGGCTCGTTTTAGAAAAATGTCGAATACCCTGTTTTCATCATGAGTCTTGACATGCTTCACAAGAGGATCATCAGACAAATAAATGTGTGCAAAAGTGCACAAAAAAATTCTATCATGAAGAGCCCCAACGTTAATCAAACCACGTCCTCCCATAATGATTGATAAATATACGCGATTGAGGGAAGAGCGAGGGTGGTGGGATCTATTGTCTGACATGAATCTTCGTGTGAGGGTGTCAATACCCTGAATTTCTTGTTTCGTCCAATCAACAACACCAAAAGAATATGAAAGGACGGGTACAGCATAAGTATTTGTGGCTTTTACTTTATTGCGAGCGTTCAACTCTGAACGCCAGATTTTCTGAAGTCTACATTTGTACTCTGCCCGACGTTTTTCCTTGATATGGGCATTCTGGAATGTGTCCCTCATCTTCTCCCTCTTCTTCATCATTATTATTATTATTATTATTATTATTATTATTATTTTGTTTGTTGTTTAATGCCGCACTCAGCAATATTCAATCTGTATGACAGCGGTCTATAAATGATCTAGTCTGTGAATCCAGTGATTGACAAAATGAGCATCGATCTACGCAACTGGGACACGGTGTCATGCATTGACCAAGTCAGCGAGTCTGACCACCCGATCCCGTTAGTTGACTCTCACCACAAGCAAGCGCCCCTTTCGACAATCTCCACACAGTTACTGTTGGTTTGCTATTAAACAACCAATTCCAGCCCGGAAATACCACGGGGCTACGTACCGGCATCCATCCAGGTATGGCTGAGCGCCAGATACCACAATGTTCCAATCTGTGACGTCATCAAGATAAGTGACGTCGGTATGGTACACGGAGTCGAGGGACAGCACCATCCATCGGTTCCTGCAACATGTCAAGGTGTTCGGTTTTATGAAGCTTTTAAAGACTTAAACCGTATCACTCATTTGAAAATTCGATCCTTCCACGTGACGATCAAACAACATGTCTCTAACAAATTATTACTCTATCGCCCATGCAGAGTATTTGGAAATTTGTTTATCGATAGAACTTGTTTTGAGGAGGACATCATCAAAATCAAAATGAAGTCTATATTCTTGGGAAATATCAACTTTATCATCGTCACGTGGCAGCAGTGATTGTCAATAGCAGCAAATGAACGAAATGCGCTCGCAACTTGGTGACGTCATATATTTGACGACGTTATTGTTATTGTACGATAAGCAATTCCCATATTATTTCTTAAATATTCAAATACTTTCGGAATGAAATATATTTGTCGTTCTTTTGATCAAAATGATGCGTGACATTTTATGGCCTGTAAACATTCTGTTCTTATCATTATTTTACTATGAAGGTGTTTAGAATTTACCTCTTATGAAATGACAAATAGGATCATTATAGTTTCTGTTTAAACTAATATTCAGGACAGCCATGACGCCCTTAAATCTGAACCCTCTCCAACCCGATGAGTTTTTTTTGTATTGTTTGTTTGTTTGTTTAACGCCGCACTCAGCAATATTCCAGCTATATGACGGCGGTCTGTAAAAAAAATCTTGTCTGAACCAGACAATCCAGTGATTAACATCATGAGCATAGATATATGCAGTTGGGATACGATGACATGCATCAACCAGATCAACTAGCTTGGACACCTGTGCCCGTTAGTCGCCTCTTACAACAAACATGGGTTGCTTAAGATCTATTCTAACCCGGATCTTCACAGGTCTCAACCCGAGTACAAAGAAAGATCCGTGATCCATAACATTAGTACAGATATTTGAAGGCAAGTGTTTTAAGAATGGAATTACGAATAATAGAAAAACATTATAGCCCTTAGCTCTGTGCAGCAACAAGTCAATATTAAAATTGTATTTATATTGAGCGACACAGAGAACGGTTACCACAGGAATATATATTAGGCCTTGGGGGATCCTCATAATATCATATTCAAAACAGATGAAGCTACTCACGAATCATTGTTCTCCCCAGGTCATTCGTTTGAATAACATTATCATTTTGAAATGTTTATGAAAATAAAAACAAAACTTATTACCCATCATTACCGGATCCTCTTGTGTAACGTCTAGATGCAGAGGATTCCTCGGTTGTACTTGGAAAACGATTTCTGTGAGTCACCGAGAACAGTACGGACGTGGTGCAAAACCCCAATACAACCAACCACAGCAGTTTCCTCCTTATAGCTGACATGTCCTGAAACAAACATGTGACACACCACACTGATATGTCCTTAAACAAACATGTGACATACCACAATGATATGTCCTTAAACAAACATGTGACACACCACAATGATATGTCCTTAAACAAACATGTGACACACCACAATGATATGTCCTTAAACAAACATGTGACATACCACAATGATATGTCCTTAAACAAACATGTGACATACCCCAACGATATGTCCTTAAAGACACATGTGACATACCACAATGCCATGCTTTTAAATAAACATGTCACATACCGCAATGCTATATCCTTAAACAAACATGTGACATACCCCAATGATATGTCCTTAAACAAACATGTGACAAAGCGGAATGATATGTCCTTAAACAAACACTTGACATACCACAATTACATGACCTCATATAAACCTGTCACATACGGCAACGACATGTCCTTAAAGAAACATGTGACACACCACAGTGACATGCCCTTAAACAAACATGTAAACATGCCGCAATGACATGTCCTTATATAAACATATGACATACCCCAACGATATGTCCTTAAAGAAACATGTGACATACCACAATGCCATGCTTTTAAATAAACATGTCACATACCGCAGTGATATATCCTTAAACAAAAATGTAAATATACCACAATGTCATGTCCTAATATAAACATGTGACATGCCACAATGACCTGTTCTAAAATAAACATGTGACACACTGCAATGATATGTCCTCAAATAAACATGTGCCCTATCGCAATGATATGTCCTTAAAAAACATGTTACATATCACAACGACCTGTTCTAAAATAAACATGTGACACACTGCAATGATATGTCCTTAAATAAACATGTGCCATATCGCAATGATATGTCCTTAAATAAACATGTTACATATCACAATGAGATGTTCTAAAATAAACATGTGACACACTGCAATGATATGTCCTTAAATAAACATGTGCCATATCGCAATGATATGTCCTTAAATAAACATGTTACAATGAGATGTTCTAAAATAAACATGTCACATACCGCAATGATATGTCCTTATAAATACATGTGACATACCGCAATGACATATCCTAAAACAAACATGTGCCATACCACAATGACATGTCCTTATATAAACCAGTATTTAACACACTTCATATGATAATCCACATGCAAACCATATCTTCCACATTCAGGTAATATTGCTGTACTTGATACATATTTACCAACTCCTAAAACAATTTACAAAACTTAGTATGAAAAGTTCGATTCGACAATTCGACTACCTTTGCAACCCCAGATCTCAGCACCATAAAGAAGAATGGGCTTTTTCTTAATATCAAACAATTTAAATAAAATGTTAACTGGCATATTTACAAAGTGAAACTGCAATTGTTTAATAGCAAACAAAGCATTATGGGCTGTTATCTTAAGGGTATCAATGCATTTAGTCCAAGACAATCTATTTGAAAACAGAACACCCAGATAACTATAGTAAGTACTGACATTGATACGTTTATCATTCAAAAACCATCGTTCATCATACCTTAAAGAATTAGAATGAATGATGAAAGATATCCCCGACAGCGTTATTTGTTAATGAAGAATCTGGATGTATGTGGTAGAATTACTTGGGCAACTCATGTTAAATATTTACTCGACATTTATGGATTTGGTTATGTGTGGGACGAACAGAATGTTGATGATGTTAAGTGTTTCTTGCAGCTGTTTAGACAGCGTTTGTTGGATTGTAACAAACAGAGTATACAGATGAAAATTTATGAGTCTTGTAAATTAAGGTATTATTCACACGTCAAGATATTATTGGATATGGGATATTATGTTACAGCTTTCTGAAATGGAGACCATAGACGTATGCTGTGCCTGTTGAGATTAAGTGAATTGCCTATACGGAGTAATCTGGGCAGAAGAAAGGATATTGTGTATTCACAATGCTTTTGTCGGCTATGTAACAATGGTTGTATTAAGGACGAAGTCCATTTTGGGTTTGTCTGCCCGTCATTAAGATTCCGCGATGTGTAGATTTGTAAACTGAGTCGTCTACACGACCTGGCAGAAGAAAGTATTATAAAAACCTGATATGACCCAGAAATTACAAACGTTGTTAAAACGTTACAAGGTTACAGTCGCCGAAACACTGCAAACCTAAGGTTAAAAAAAAAGAAAAAAAGGTTCACAACTTGTACAATGATACTCAGTATTCAAGGGTCACAACTTGTATAATGATACTCAGTATTCAAGGGTCACAACTTGTATAATGATACTCAGTATTCAAGGGTCACAACTTGTGTAATGATACTCAGTATTCAAGGGTCACAACTTGTGTAATGATACTCAGTATTCAAGGGTCACAACTTGTGTAATGATACTCAGTATTCAAGAGTCACAACTTGTGTAATGATACCCAGTATTCAAGGGTCACAACTTGTATAATGATACCAAGTATTCAAGAGTCACAACTTGTGTAATGATACTCAGTATTCAAGAATCACAACTTGTATAATGATTCTAAATTCAAGGGTCACAACTTGTTTAATGATACTCAGTATTCAAGGGTCACAACTTGTGTAATGATACTCAGTATTCAAGGGTCACAACTTGTACAGATATATACCCAGTAGTCAAGGGTCACAACTTGTGTAATGATACTCAGTATTCAAGGGTCACAACTTGTACAGATATATACCCAGTATTCAAGGGTCACAACTAGTGTAATGATACCAAGTATTCAAGGGTCACAAATTGTGTAGTGATTCTCAGTATTCAAGGGTCACAACTTGTGTAATGATACCGAGTATTCAAGGGTCAAAACTTGTATAATGATACTTAGTATTCAAGGGTCAAAACTTGTATAATGATACTTAGTATTCAAGGGTCACAACTTGTGTAATGATACTCAGTATTCAAGGGTCACAACTTGTGTAATGATACTCAGTATTCAAGGGTCACAACTTGTGTAATGATACTCAGTATCCAAGGGTCACAACTTGTATAATGATACTCAGTATTCAAGGGTCACAACTTGTATAATGATACTCAGTATTCAAGGGTCACAACTTGTATAATGATACTCAGTATTCAAGGGTCACAACTTGTACAGATATATACCCAGTATTCAAGGGTCACAACTTGTACAGATATATAGCCATTATTAAAGGGTCACAACTTGTGTAATGATACCCAGTATTCAAGGGTCACAACTTGTACAGATATATACCCAGTATTCAAGAGTCACAACTTGTGTAATGATACCAAGTATTCAAGGGTCACAACTTGTGTAGTGATACTCAGTATTCAAGGGTCACAACTGGTGTAATGATACCCAGTATTCAAGTCACAATTAGTGTAATGATACTCAGTATTCAAGGGTTACAACTTGTGTAATGATACTCAGTATTCAAGGGTCACAACTTGTATAATGATACTCAGTATTCAAGGGTCACAATTTGTACAGATATATACCCAGTATTCAAGGGTCACAACTTGTGTAATGATACTCAGTATTCAAGGGTCACAACTTGTGTAATGATACTCAGTATTCAAGGGTCACAACTTGTGTAATGATACTCAGTATTCAAGGGTCACAACTTGTACAGATATATACCCAGTATTCAAGGGTCACAACTTGTACAGATATATAGCCATTATTAAAGGGTCACAACTTGTGTAATGATACCCAGTATTCAAGGGTCACAACTTGTACAGATATATACCCAGTATTCAAGAGTCACAACTTGTGTAATGATACCAAGTATTCAAGGGTCACAACTTGTGTAGTGATACTCAGTATTCAAGGGTCACAACTGGTGTAATGATACCCAGTATTCAAGTCACAATTAGTGTAATGATACTCAGTATTCAAGGGTTACAACTTGTGTAATGATACTCAGTATTCAAGGGTCACAACTTGTATAATGATACTCAGTATTCAAGGGTCACAATTTGTACAGATATATACCCAGTATTCAAGGGTCACAACTTGTGTAATGATACTCAGTATTCAAGGGTCACAACTTGTGTAATGATACTCAGTATTCAAGGGTCACAACTTGTGTAATGATACTCAGTATTCAAGAGTCACAACTTGTGTAATGATACTCAGTATTCAAGGGTCACAACTTGTGTAATGATACCCAGTATTCAAGGGTCACAACTTGTGTAATGATACTCAGTATTCAAGAATAACAACTTGTATAATGATTCTAAATTCAAGGGTCACAACTTGTTTAATGATACTCAGTATTCAAGGGTCACAACTTGTGTAATGATACTCAGTATTCAAGGGTCACAACTTGTACAGAATTATACCCAGTAGTCAAGGGTCACAACTTGTGTAATGATACCAAGTATTCAAGGGTCACAACTTGTGTAATGATTCTCAGTATTCAAGGGTCACAACTTGTGTAATGATACCGAGTATTCAAGGGTCACAACTTGTATAATGATACTCAGTATTCAAGGGTCACAACTTGTGTAATGACACTAAGTATTCAAGGGTCACAACTGGTGTAATGATACTCAGTATTCAAGGGTCACAATTTGTACAGATATATACCAAGTATTCAAGGGTCACAACTTGTGTAATGATACTCAGTATTCAAGGGTCACAACTTGTACAGATATATACCCAGTATTCAAGGGTCACAACTTGTACAGATATATACCAAGTATTCAAGGGTCACAACTTGTACAGATATATACCCAGTATTCAAGGGTCACAACTTGTGTAATGATACTCAGTATTCAAGGGTCACAACTGGTCTAATGATACTCAGTATTCAAGGGTCACAACTTGTGTAATGATACTCAGTATTCAAGGGTCACAACTTGTACAGATATATACCCAGTATTCAAGGGTCACAACTTGTGTAATGATACTCAGTATTCAAGGGTCACAACTTGTACAGATATATACTCAGTATTCAAGGGTCACATCTTGTGTAATGATACTTAGTATTCAAGGGTCACAACTTGTACAGATATGTACCCAGTATTCAAGGGTCACAACTTGTGTAATGATACCCAGTATTCAAGGGTCACAACTTGTATAATGATACCCAGTATTCAAGAGTCACAACTGGTGTAATGATACTTAGTATTCAAGAGTCACAACTTGTGTAATGATACTCAGTATTCAAGAGTTACAACTTGTGTAATGATACCAAGTATTCAAGGGTCACAACTTGTATAATGATACTCAGTATTCAAGGGTTACAACCTGTGTTATGATACTCAGTAGTCAAGGGTCACAACTTGTGTAATGATACTCAGTATTCAAGGGTCAAAACTTGTACAGATATATACCCAGTATTCAAGGGTCACAACTTGTATAATGATACTCAGTATTCAAGGGTCACAACTTGTATAATGATACCGAGTATTCAAGTGTCACAACTTGTACAGATATATACCCAGTATTCAAGGGTCACAACTTGTGTAATGATACTCAGTATTCAAGGGTCACAACTTGTGTAATGATACCTGATACCCAGCATTCAAGGGTCACAACTTGTGTAATGATACTCAGTATTCAAGGGTCACAACTTGTATAATGATACTCAGTATCCAAGGGTCACCACTTGTATAATGATACTCAGTATTCAAAGGTCACAATTTGTGTAATGATACTCAGTATTCAAGAGTCACAACTTGTGTAATGATACTCAGTATTCAAGGGTCACTACTTGTGTAGTGATACCCAGTATTCAAGGGTCACAACTTGTGTAATGATACCGAGTATTCAAGGGTCACAACTTGTGTAATGATACTCAGTATTGAAGAGTCACAACTTGTATAATGATACTCAGTATTCAAGAGTCACAACTTGTGTAATGATATTCAGTATTCAAGGGTCACAACTTGTTTAATGATACTCAGTATTCAAGGGTTTCAACTTGTACAGATATATACCCAGTATTCAAGGGTCACAACTTGTGTAATGATACTCAGTATTCAAGGGTCACGACTTGTATAATGATACTCAGTATTCAAGGGTCACAACTGGTGTAATGATACCCAGTATTCAAGAGTCACAACTTGTGTAATGATACTCAGTATTCAAGGGTCACAACTTGTGTAATGATACTCAGTATTCAAGGGTCACAACTTGTATAATGATACTCAGTATTTAAGGGTCACAACTTGTACAGATATATACCTAGTATTCAAGGGTCACAGCTTGTGTAATGATGCTCAGTATTCAAGGGTCACAACTTGTGTAATTATACTCAGTATTCAAGGGTCACAACTTGTGTAATGATACACAGTATTCAAGAGTCACAACTTGTGTAATGATACTCAGTATTCAAGGGTCAGAACTTGTATAATGATACCGAGTATTCAAGGGTCACAACTTGTACAGATATATACCCAGTATTCAAGGGTCACAACTTGTTTAATGATACTCAGTATTCAAGGGTCACAACTTGTGTAATGATACTCAGTATTCAAGGGTCACAACTTGTACAGAATTATACCCAGTAGTCAAGGGTCACAACTTGTGTAATGATACTCAGTATTCAAGGGTCACAACTTGTACAGATATATACCCAGTATTCAAGGGTCACAACTTGTGTAATGATACCAAGTATTCAAGGGTCACAACTTGTGTAATGATTCTCAGTATTCAAGGGTCACAACTTGTGTAATGATACCGAGTATTCAAGGGTCACAACTTGTATAATGATACTCAGTATTCAAGGGTCACAACTTGTGTAATGACACTAAGTATTCAAGGGTCACAACTGGTGTAATGATACTCAGTATTCAAGGGTCACAATTTGTACAGATATATACCAAGTATTCAAGGGTCACAACTTGTGTAATGATACTCAGTATTCAAGGGTCACAACTTGTACAGATATATACCCAGTATTCAAGGGTCACAACTTGTACAGATATATACCAAGTATTCAAGGGTCACAACTTGTACAGATATATACCCAGTATTCAAGGGTCACAACTTGTGTAATGATACTCAGTATTCAAGGGTCACAACTGGTCTAATGATACTCAGTATTCAAGGGTCACAACTTGTGTAATGATACTCAGTATTCAAGGGTCACAACTTGTACAGATATATACCCAGTATTCAAGGGTCACAACTTGTGTAATGATACTCAGTATTCAAGGGTCACAACTTGTACAGATATATACTCAGTATTCAAGGGTCACATCTTGTGTAATGATACTTAGTATTCAAGGGTCACAACTTGTACAGATATGTACCCAGTATTCAAGGGTCACAACTTGTGTAATGATACCCAGTATTCAAGGGTCACAACTTGTATAATGATACCCAGTATTCAAGAGTCACAACTGGTGTAATGATACTTAGTATTCAAGAGTCACAACTTGTGTAATGATACTCAGTATTCAAGAGTTACAACTTGTGTAATGATACCAAGTATTCAAGGGTCACAACTTGTATAATGATACTCAGTATTCAAGGGTTACAACCTGTGTTATGATACTCAGTAGTCAAGGGTCACAACTTGTGTAATGATACTCAGTATTCAAGGGTCAAAACTTGTACAGATATATACCCAGTATTCAAGGGTCACAACTTGTATAATGATACTCAGTATTCAAGGGTCACAACTTGTATAATGATACCGAGTATTCAAGTGTCACAACTTGTACAGATATATACCCAGTATTCAAGGGTCACAACTTGTGTAATGATACTCAGTATTCAAGGGTCACAACTTGTGTAATGATACCTGATACCCAGCATTCAAGGGTCACAACTTGTGTAATGATACTCAGTATTCAAGGGTCACAACTTGTATAATGATACTCAGTATCCAAGGGTCACCACTTGTATAATGATACTCAGTATTCAAAGGTCACAATTTGTGTAATGATACTCAGTATTCAAGAGTCACAACTTGTGTAATGATACTCAGTATTCAAGGGTCACTACTTGTGTAGTGATACCCAGTATTCAAGGGTCACAACTTGTGTAATGATACCGAGTATTCAAGGGTCACAACTTGTGTAATGATACTCAGTATTGAAGAGTCACAACTTGTATAATGATACTCAGTATTCAAGAGTCACAACTTGTGTAATGATATTCAGTATTCAAGGGTCACAACTTGTTTAATGATACTCAGTATTCAAGGGTTTCAACTTGTACAGATATATACCCAGTATTCAAGGGTCACAACTTGTGTAATGATACTCAGTATTCAAGGGTCACGACTTGTATAATGATACTCAGTATTCAAGGGTCACAACTGGTGTAATGATACCCAGTATTCAAGAGTCACAACTTGTATAATGATACTCAGTATTCAAGGGTCACAACTTGTGTAATGATACTCAGTATTCAAGGGTCACAACTTGTATAATGATACTCAGTATTTAAGGGTCACAACTTGTACAGATATATACCTAGTATTCAAGGGTCACAGCTTGTGTAATGATGGTCAGTATTCAAGGGTCACAACTTGTGTAATTATACTCAGTATTCAAGGGTCACAACTTGTGTAATGATACACAGTATTCAAGAGTCACAACTTGTGTAATGATACTCAGTATTCAAGGGTCAGAACTTGTATAATGATACCGAGTATTCAAGGGTCACAACTTGTACAGATATATACCCAGTATTCAAGGGTCACAACTTGTGTAATGATACTCAGTATTCAAGGGTCACAACTTGTATAGATATATACCCAGTATTCAAGGGTCACAACTTGTGTAATGATACTCAGTATTCAAGGGTCATAACTTGTACAGATATATACTCAGTATTCAAGGGTCACAACTTGTGTTATGATACTCAGTATTCAAGGGTCACAACTTGTACAGATATATACCCAGTATTCAAGGGTCACAACTTGTGTAATGATACTCAGTATTCAAGGGTCACAACTTGTGTAATGATACTCAGTATTCAAGGGTCACAACTTGTGTAATGATACTCAGTATTCAAGGGTCATAACTTGTGTAATGATACTCAGTATCCAAGGGTCACAACTTGTATAGTGATACTCAGTATTCAAGGGTCACAACTTGTGTAATGATACTCAGTATTCAAGGGTCACAACTTGTACAGATATATACCCAGCATTCAAGGGTCACAACTTGTATAATGATACTCAGTATTCAAGGGTCACAACTTGTACAGATATATACCCAGTATTCAAGGGTCACAACTTGTATAGTGAAATACTCAGTATTCAAGGGTCACAACTTGAACTGACATACTAGTATTGATATAGCCTGTTTTCAAGAGTTACAGCTGGAACTTGTATGCCGGTATTGCTATACCCAGTAGTCAAGGGTCACAACTTTGGATGACAACTGTATGTCCGGGTGGGTATGGGAGATAAGGGTGGGCGGGTAGACAGATGTTAATTTCACGAAATACTCAACAACAACGGAAGGCTTGTTCTTGAAGCGTTCTTTTAGCAGGTATTTAACTTAGCCTGACAATCATGATATAAATGGTGTCACTTACTATAAGTTTGGTTGATACATCCAGATAACAGAAAATTCATGCGCACCATCAGAGTCCACCTTTGTACTTCTCGTTTTGCTCCTTGTGATATACAGAGGCGTACATTATGTTACAATGCATGTCCATGTTGCAAAAGCCATGTTGCCATGTTCCCGTCAGGTGATACGGGTGTTCTGACGCACAGCGCGCCGATTGGTCGATCAGTGATCCGGCGCGGGTGACAGACCGACAGTAATCATTCTAAGTACATGTAACTTAATCCCCTTAATACTTGATTACCCTTAAGTGGCTGGCTACAAAAATATTACTCCGGCCTGTTTCACCAAGGATTGCCTTGTTTGAGGCAAACTTACCAACACCGAGAAAACATTTGAAATATGAAATGTGAACTTTTTCAATTGCAGCGTAATACTTAGCACCCCATATGTCAGAACCATACAAAAGTATAGGCATTATTTTGCCTTAAGAAATGGTACATGCTGTGAAAAAATACACACGACTATTTTTCCTGAATACATTATAAAGAGGCATAATGGCTTTCGACGCCTGAACAGCTATTGCTTACATGCCATAGACCATGACAATTTAGAGGAGAAGATAAGACCTAAATATTTATAGTCAGTGACAACTCTCAAGGCAGACGAACCAAGAAACCACTTTTCATGTTTTGCAACAATACCACCTTTTCTAAAAACTACAACATTGGTTTTATTCAGATTTACTTCAAGACTCTATTTTGAACAGTAACTCTGTGACACATTTAACTGTTTTTGCAAGCAATTTACAGAATAGGAAAAAATACAACATCATCAGCAATGAGAAGGAGCATAATGTCCATTATTTCCTGTGTTACAAATATCCCAATATTTTGCAGCTCTATAGCAAGGTCATTTATGACAAATATAAACAACAACGGACTTAAAGTGCGGATGACAGGTCATATTAAACGTCTCAGGCTGTGCATGACTAAAGTTGGGGCACATTTTATACTGTGTTTCGTCATTTGATCTATATCACATCACAGGAATAACGAAATATCCAGTTATGTCTATGAACTTCAGTGTGAGGGTCACATATCAGCGTCTCAGCATGCCGTTCATTCTTAAAGGCTTGAATAAAAAAGTCGGGCGAATCTATAATGCAGGGGTGACAGACAGCTTTGTCATTCATCATACCAACGACGGCCTAGTGTAATGTGTTGACTGTGACCGCGTCTTTCACCCCTTTCATTATCATGCAGTTAACGTCAGTGTATTCTCCACTTATCTATTACAGCCTGCATGTAATGAACTCATCCCTTTTCAATCCTTTTCAAACCCGCGCCGCATCAACCGACCAATCAGCGCGCTGTATGTCCGTGTCTGACACATAAGCGTCATGTGCCCCAGCGAGGTGGCGCAGAACACCCTTTTTCTAATTCCCAGTCAGGTCGCTGTCCACAGGGCAACTTACTTCCTATGGTTTAGCCTCTGGATAAGGGGAGACTATCTTGAAAATTTCAACTTGATTTTGTATCGAGACCAGATATTTTGTCGGCTTCAGCTACAAAACCCGACATTTTTTAAATTTAAAACTTTGAGCCTGATTTTCTAAAAAGAAAATCACCTTGCAATAATGTAATGTTTGTGATGTTCAATTTCTTTTTTTTTAACAACAGTCTGAAGCATAAATATATGTTTCAAGAATTCATTTTTGTCAGGGGGCACGGGTGGCCGAGTCGTCTAAGGTGCCGCGATTCGCTGTGCAGCTGACACGTTGCGATGTAACTGTAATACTGTAAAAAGCGGCGTTAAACCCAACTCTCTCACTCATTTTTGTCATGTTTTCAGCACTTGTTTGTAAGGCCCAGGTTCCTAAGCCTATGTTAAAGTATGGAAGTTAAGATCATCTTAGCGCTAAATTTGCTTTGTGCCAGTGGGCCCTGGTTCGGTTCCGGCTGAAGAAAACGATGATTTCAAATGTACTGACAGTAAAGATTATTAGCCTGTATTTTTCCTTTTTCCTTTAGTCGTTTCCATCAATACATATTAAGGATTGTAAGGAATTCAAAATTGTCTGCCGATATTTTGTCCTCTTTGTTTTCATCTGTTTCTGAGCTACAAGTCTTACTTGTCCTGTCTTGCTGTACATCCATGAACGATACGGAACTGTATGGTAAACTGATTTCATATAGAGTATTTTTCAGTGCAGAACATTTAGTACATCATATCACATCATAATTATTATGTCTGATCATATTTTCTCTCGCACTTTTAAATAGTCTTGTGTTCGGGGTAGAATGGGTGTTCAGCAACCCATGCTTGCCGTAAAAGGCGACTGTGCTTTTGTCGTTAGAGACGACGAACGGGATCGGGTGGTCAGGCTCGCTGACTTGGTTGATGATGCATGTAATCGCATCCCAATTGCGAGGATCGATGATCATGATGTCAATCACTGGATTGTCTGGCCCCGACTCGATTATTTACAGACCGCCGTCATATAGCTGGAATATTGCCGAGTGCCGCGTTAAAAAAAATAAAATTAGTCTGGTAGACAATTAAAGCGGACGTAAAATGTCTGCTTCGTCATCGTGGTTCGTCACTTGATAGCATCTGAATTGTCGACATGCTCGCATTCTCCCAACATTGTTCAATATTGTATGAAAATTGATGTAAACATGTTGGAAATACCTGCTTAAGACGTTCAGGTGAATTTCGTATACATGTGCGCTGTTGGAGAAATACGTTAAGCAGTTTGTTTGTTTGTTTGTTGTTAAACGCCGCACTCAGCAATATACGAGCTATATGACGGCGGTCTGTAAATAATCGAATCTGGACCAGGCAATCCAGTGATTGTCATCATGAGCATCCCATCAGTTGGTTTGTTTGTTGTTTAACGCCGCACTCAGCTATATTCCAGCTATATGACAAACAAACAATCTCTGATTACTGTCTCTGCTTGTGTTTTCTTTTGAAGTCGTACCAATTGGACAATTGCCATTGATAAGAAGAACTTATGCACACTAAGGTTCTCACCGGCAAGCCCAACACGATTTGATTTTTTGTTTAGTGTTTTGATTTTTAATATTTTAGTATGAAAGACAAAACATATGTTACATGGGGGGGGGGGGGGGGGGGGGGGGATATATGTGTTTGTTTGTTGGCTAGTTACCGTAACGCTGCACTCAGCAATATTCGAACTATATGACGGCGGTCTGTAAATAATCGGAGACTGGACCAGACAATCAAGTGATTAACACCATGAGCATCGATCTATGCAAATGGGATCGATGACATGCATCAACCAAATCAGCGAGCCTGACTACCCGGTCCCGTTAATTAGTCGCCTCTTACGGCAAGCATGGGTTGGTGAAGACCAATTTAATCCGGATCTTCACGGGTCTAACATGAATGTAATCGCGCAATAACACCATTACATCAAACACGGGCGCGTCTAGACGATCTTCAAATCAAATTTGTAACACTGATTGAGCGAGTGTGATGTCGGCCGCTTTGGGCAGTATTTACGTTATAATACGGCGCCATGATGAAACACGGGTCACCCAGTCGTCTGAGGCGCCGCAATTCGCTGTGCAGAGTAACCTCCCCTAGGCACGCCATAAACCTATGATCGTTGGTTCGAATCCCGGTTCGCCCCGATTAAAATTCAAGGTTTGTCAGCACCATATACCCGTGCTCGTGGGTTTTAACCAAAGTGTTTAGCGTCTGAGACTTTCGGGCTTTCCTCTCACGTTAAGCTGACACTCCGTGATATAACCGGACTACTTTTAAAAGCTGGGATTCGAACCCACGACTATCCGGCGCAACAGAATCGTAATGCTATGGGAAGCATCTATACACAGCGCATTGCAGCGAGAAACTGCTTGGACATTTGTGTTTATATTGCAGTATATTTGAAATGAAACCTCTTACTGGAAGAAATACAATAAAAGTTAACTAAATAACATTTATGCTGCTATTAAACAAGTTAGTCATGATTAACCCACCACGTTATGCGCGCTTGCAATCAGCAGATACCTGAATAGAAAAAATAAAGGTATTCAATAAATATTAACTAAAGTGTCTAAATGTGCATGTTTATGGTGCAAACTTCACCTTTTAAAAGAAAACAAAAGATTAAAATCCCAGTATTAGAATGCTTACGGGCGAGACATATTCACAACAGCAACCAAGACGCCTTTTGTCCAATACGAAATGCATAGAATAATGTCTTACTACGCGTTCTTTACCACAAGAGAAAGGAGTTGGCGGTCCCATCGCCACTGAGGCCACTTGTTCCTCGTCGTAGTGCGGGTCATTATTGCCTAGGCGGTCAATGCTCTTTTTCCGGTTCCGAATTAAGCCATTCCTAATTTTCAGCATTCTAAATTCTAGTTTTCAATTAGAGTTGTCTTTTCTTAAATGTGTGACCGCCATGTTGTATACATTCAGCACTTTCCTTGAAGGAATTAAATACACACTCTTGTTTTAGTGTCTCTGGTTGTCTTCTTTCATTCATTGTTTGAAAACAAGACCATGTTTAGAAAGACAAAAAGGTCACCTTGCCATTGTTATGATCTGGAATTGATGAGAAACATTGGTGCGTGCGTGCGTGCGTGCGTGCGTGCGTGCGTGCGTGCGTGCCTAATATCAAATTTGTTGATTTTAATAGAAATTATTTTAGTCATTGTATGCAATGATGCTGCTGCTGCTGATGATGTTGATAATGATACTGGTAGACAGGAATCTGTTTTGCTGTATTAAACTTCCACACCACCCTTTCCATACACACCAAAACATGACGTCACAGAAGTATTTTCAGCTGGATATTCCTTTTTTTAAGGACAATACCATACGTAATCCTATGGGGAAATCCCCCTTTAACAATCTCTATATTTTGGCCATTTTACAGAAGGGAAGTGGACGTTTCAGATAATATGTTCTCAAAGGATCTCAATCGTACACCGTTCCTGTGCTAATATTGTTGCAACTTCGCTTAAACGATCTGAATCTGAAATGTCCGCAAGGCAAAATATTCCTTGCTTGAAGTGACATGTGGGTAATAAATAAAAAAAATGAAAAAAAAGTTTATCACAAAATAATCATGCAGACATACCTTCCTTAGCTACCTATAATCTCTAAAATCTCTAAAAGATGTTGACACTTGCGTTATTAAATATAATATGGCTTTGTCAAGATTCACCTT